TTTAGTGATTTGTGGTGGGTGACTTGTTGCAGCTTTTGGGCTTGTATAATACAACATTTATATTGGGCCTTTTATATTATGTGTATATTATCGATTTTCGGTTCGGTTCGGTTAACCGACAGGTTATAACCAAACCGAACCGAAAACCGAAATATTTGAAAACTAGTAACCAAAAACCGAACTAATTTTTCGATTTCGATTTCGGTCGAAATCGAAATTTTGGTTTCGGTCGGTTTCGATCGGTTAACCGCAATATGTGCACCCCTAATCCAGATAATAAGAAAAATAATAGAGTATGAAAATTAATATGAGATATATGGTTATGTACATAGTAGAGAGGATTTAAAGAGAGCCACATAAACCCAATAAAAATCTCACTAATTTGATGAGATTTCTACTAGAACTGACTTTGTAATTTTCTTATAAAGTCTCCAAAATTCTTTCAATTTAAAAAGTCTTATAAAGACTTTCTATTTTCTAATACATGATGACTTATTGAGACTCTTAGAAAGTTTCAATTTAACACACCAATACTTTTAAAGATTTATAGACTTTTAGAGGTTTATAGAAAGTCTTTAAAATTCTCAATTGAATACATAGAGACTTTATAAAAATCTCGAAAAATTTCAAACTAGAATTTTTAAAGTCTTAAAAAGTTTTAATTGAGTACACGCTCTTTTAGTCTTTGATATTATAAATGGAGAGAATAGGTGTAGTGAGAGAGGTGTACGTTTTAAGAGAATTATTATAAATTCTAATTGGTACAACTATATATATTCTGTTAATTTTCTTTGAGGAAGCAAATTGTGGCAAGACTCTGTATTTCGAGACACGCGAACTTCAAAATTTCACTAAATGTGTATATTTTTAGTGTGTGCTTGTGGTGTAGCTATAAATAGACACTGTGCTTTGTATTTATAACTAACCTTCATTTCCAACTTTTAAGTTGGGAAATTCTTTCTATTTTCTTTTTTTATGCTTTGGTTTGGAGGTCTATGACTCAATTTTTCCGGCGAAATTCCGGCAACTTTATTTTAATCAAGATTCGAGTTTTACGCACTATTTTCGTTCGGACATGCGATAAGAGATTAAGTATCTTGCTTTGGGCTTACTTCTTCGAGTTTGTTTTCCGAATATTGTGTTGATGCTCCGTTCTAGGTTTTTGCTTTCTTCTCATTGCTTGTTAAAGTGTTAGGATTTGATACGTGCTTATCTAGTATAAATGTCTCGACTTTCAGAGTGTGATGATTTAGTGTGGAAAGCTCGTGTTAGAATATCTAGGATCACTTTGCACAAATGTTTTCTCTTGTTTATTTTTGTTTTATTTAGTTATGGATACTCCGTGGAACCAAAGTTTCGATCTTTTTTCAATTCTTGCATTTTTTATCCTTTTCTCTTAATGTTTTAGCTTAATGCAAATCAATCTCTATAAAGCGAGTAGAATGTGTAGGACCATTCTTTTGGTTATGTAATTTTGACGACTAGGTAGTGAATGAAGCTCCGAATAGCCTTCTTTGAGAACGACTGTTCATGTGTGATTTTACACTACATTCATATAGTATTTAGAGCTTGATTGGTACATTTGTGGTGTATAAATTGCATATTTGTGCCTTAATTCTATATTTGTTGGAA